AGACAAGGATACAAAAGTAACGCTCGTCCAAAACAGGATGAAACTGTTGTCCAACGTTCTTTGTCAGTCACCACAGAAATTTATCATGCCTTCAACTGCAGTTAAGTAGCCGGGAATTACCGATCTCCCAAAGAGTGGGGTACACACCTGGGGTACACACAGTTCCTGGTGCCTAGGAAAATCCGAATGGGCCAATCCAAACATTCCCTGGTTTTTGTTTACTCCAATCGTAACAGGAGTGGTTCGTTTCAAACGACGAACGATTGCAGTTGTCGTGATCCGTGCCGGTTTACAAAGTTTTGAAATAATATTCAACCAAATACTTGCTTCGGTTACCCGTAGTTCAGTTTTGAAATTGTACAACCCTCCCGATAGAAAATGGTGTAGTTCAGTTCCTATATGCGCACAAATGCAACGTTGGAAAATCATGTTTGACACATGGTTTTCCCCCCTAAACCTCTGCTATTCAACGGATAAGGAGAATTGAATGAAATTGCTATCACTTTTGCTAATCTCACAACATTCTTTTATTATTAATATTATAAAACATTTTAATGTGATGAACAACAGATGGGGCGGACCTCGTAGTCATGAAGACCTGCTGGTCATTAATGGAAACCGGTAACCTAAGCCCCGGGACTTGGAGTGGTGAACCACGCAATGCTTCGATAGGTTAGGCGTGGTATTGAACCGAAGAACCGCAAAGGGGCCTACCATCCAAGTTAGATGTTAGTGGTGGGGCTTGAAACTGGGACCTTAAGGTCCAAAGCACACCGCTACGAACGACTAAACCACTGTGGCACCACAATCCAGGATCACTGCATCACCAACCTCATTGGAAGTAGTGTTCGCTTATTCGGAAATTTCGATGGAAAATCGAGCTCTCCTAATAATTCAACAACAAAAATTGATATAACGCCTTGTGAGAAGTTGGAAAGCACTGAGAATAAAGGTTGATAACAGTTCAGACAGTACCAGTTAGGGTTACAATAGATTTCGTATTCACGGCTTCTCTGTAGGATTAGTGTGTCGAATAAAGAAATTTTACCACCTGAGGGTTAAGTCTAAAATGAATAAAAAAGAACGTGGGCTTGAGGTGCTTTGACCGGTGCAGTTGCACATATACTCAAGATCCCAAATCTTAGCAAATGCTATTCGCTTATTCGATTTTGACGGTGGATAATGAACGTCCCTCCCAATTTGACCTCGAAATTCTGTGAGAATTAACAGACCCAAACAGTTAAACTTCCGTGAGTCAGAGGTTAGAAAGACTTGCAAATTATCGCTGTCCTAGTGTATAGAGGGCAGAGCACTTTATTTAAAATATTGTATATTTTTAGTTACCACTCGTCCGTTTTGTCCATGCTTACCAGTTATTTCTGAAAGTGATACAGATTTACGCATGTATTGGACTTACATCCAATCAGACACAAATTGGCATAAGGAAGATAATGTATGGAGTGTCCACCGTTTGCAACGACATGATACCTCAAGGCTTAGCGAACCGAGAAATGGCACAACCTTGAGGTCAACCACTCAAAGTCTTAGACCTGGTACTCAGAGCCAGCAGTCCAAGTTGGGAGTTATTGTTCAGTTTGCTGGACTAAACTGCCGTTTGGGCGTGTTAATGTTCCAAGTGACTAGAACATTTTGGGGCTAAATCAAGCGGGTAGCCATTGTCAGGATTGGGCAGATGCATATGTGATTCGTACGCATTTTTGTTTAGTTTTGAACCAAGGATTGTCTGTAGATGAACTAACGATGGATCTCCCCTTTTTTCTCCGGATGATGCCCTTCCTGCCTCTCTGTCCTTTGTTATGGGTGCATTATACGAGTTTTAGAGGAAGGCTGATCCAACATAACGGAACATGCCCAACCCGGGCCATAGTGAAGTCTTTGATTAACAAGTACGGATAGACTTACCAAGTTCAAACGATAGCGAAAAATTTTTGTTGTTAATATACAGATTTGGTTGAGCGATTATCTCACAAATATTCATCAATTTACCCCCCGGTACAAGAAGATCAAAGTTCATGCTCTATTGCTATCCTTCCCCTCGAATCTAGCATTTTGTCAGAGAATGTGCATTCGCGTTCAACGATCAAACCAGGTCAACCAGTAAGTTTACTACTGTAAACAACATCCTATTCACTAGAACTTACATAAACACAACAGACTTCTGGTGGTGAAGTGAACAGATTTCCTCAAAGTTTGTTGTTTTGTATTTTTACAAGCATAAGCTTATCGCTGTACTACCACCAAGACACGTGGTTTATTCGAATTTTAAAGTACAAAACGAAACACTGAACAGCCACGGGGCGGACTGGATGTGCTTTCCTCAGGCACGTGTTTAAAACCGGTTTATTTGAAAATACGTTTTGGAGTCGTTGTGTGCCCCTTTTTTGTAATAAAACAGATAGTCGAATATGAGGGTGGTTTGAATGCGGTCAGTTGGGTGAAGGATGTGTTAGAGAGTAGTTGACTAAAATAACTGCCACCTTAGAACAATTTTCTACAAAACAATGACTGCAACGGATCCTAAGATGCAAGTGATACCTGAAAGGAGCAACACATACAAAATGGTAGGCTATCATATTTTACCTATCTGATGTCCAGCGTTGCCCAAAATCTTATGTGTGGCTACAAGAAGAAGCTTAGACTTGCATCAACAGTCAAACACTGATAAACCGAGGCCTGAGAACCTGGACAAGATGGCGAGTGCATACAGCTATTCCACAGTGGGACGAAGAGATCTACTTTCTGACCCAACAACTATCGAGGAAATCCAGCCAACTGGAACGGATTTATGCATCACTCCATTCTATTCACATACATATCGACAGGTGAATGAGCTCCAGGTGAGCCAGCGGAAATCGTGTCGTCACACCACCATTGCCTTTGTTAGTCCGGGACTATAGATGTGAAGCACTCAAGAAAGAAGCCGGGTGATGATATGCACATCTGTCGTACCTAATTCCCATCAAACATCAAACTCACCACGAAGCCGGAGTGTACTGCATGTCGCGCAGTCTTCATTGTTGAAGGAATCAAGCGGAACGCAGTTCCCGGAAGGAAGTTACAGTGTCAAAATCGTGAATCTCATTGGTTTGAGCATCAGAAACATTAAACTTCCGGGTGTCTGAATACAAATGCAAGGACACCATAAAAAGGGAGGATTTTTCTCTTGAAAACAATTCCTAGTTATGCAATGCTAAAACCGTGTTGAATAACTCAATTTAAAAGCCGCAGTTAAAGAAATGGGCCGCACTGCAACACGCTACGCGCAGTCGTCAATTTCATGGGAGTAGTGAAGATTCATGTGCAGTGTTTGGCGACGAGTCAAGTGCTTTCCAGTGTAACCCAGGATTACAGATTTTGTATGAGACTCAAGTTATTTGACAAATGTACCGAAGCGTTTTCGGGAACGTATCCAGAATGTACAAACGCAAGACTGGAGATCGATTAGGCCAAACCCCTTGATACTTCACTGGAACCAAACAGACAACTTGAATCACGTTCAACATGTTTACCAGTTTTCATAAACGAAATCGAATGTCAATCTCAAAGGGCGCCCATAGCAACGACCCAGAAGCAATTCATGTGTTGTATGAAAAACAATTCCATTCGTAAAGAAACGTTGATTGTCGTGTAATGGCAGCTGCAGAGAGCAAGCATTTTGGAGATTAACCTTGAGATAGTATAATAAAACTCTGACATTTTTGCTACTTTTAGCTGTTTAAAGTAGTATAAGCTACTTTAAAGAAGAGAGGCGGAAGCGGCAGTCAATCTGACTCTGTTGGGGACTCGTAAACGAGGAAACGGTTTGCTATGATTGCCAATTTGACCAGCTGAACACCACACTAAAGAGATCGGGTGGAACATATTTGATGGTCAAACACTCATATTCAATCGCATGTTCTATTCTTATCCTTGACCAGCACGATTCGAGAATTTCGAAAATCTACGGTCAGACTACTTCAGTGTTTGGTGTTCATTGCGAACGGTAGTTGTTGGAATAATTAACGTCCAGTCACAATAAAACGAGACAAACCATGTTACTATTGAGTCCAGTTGTGCACATAAATAGATACCGCCGGGATTCGATTGGGTCAACGCACCTCGCAGCGAAATGCCTCAGGTGTCCGTGGCTTCAAAAATAAAGATGCCTTTCTTCTGTTGGTTTTTGTTTTGTACCTTCTCTAATACGTATTTCACACACACCTGAAACTGGACTGTGTGCCAAACAAATCACGGTACAATAATCTTGATAAACAAGAGGAAGTTCCATGATTTGTTTGCTGACGGAATATTGCTTAGGTCGAGGCGGGTGAACTTCCTTGAAGAATGTACAATCAGAACCTTCGGTTAGTCACAGCCTGACCCACAAAGCAGCGGGGCGGTGTTTGAAAACCGTACTCTTTGAATGGCACCTCCAAGGTGCTCAATATACCTCTATGCCCCATGGAGCCGGCGACAAGTTCCACAAACAGGAGGATGTGTGCGGTTCGTTTACTTCATTTTGTCGGTTTGGAATCAGGGTTTTTGTCCAACTCCCTTAGGTGAACTGCCAATGGTTCACCGACCTCGTTATAGCCCCGGATATCGTCTTTTCGTCCTCTAACTTTGGTGGAAAAACAAACCCACCACGGGGAGTCAATGAGTAGGGCTTCCTCAGCAGAGGATGTTTGAGACGCTAGGTCAAATGCAAGCATCTTGCGAGGTGCAAGGAAAGGATGATCGAACAAAACCCAAGACGCCCATCCCGATGATATCGAACCTTTCTGAGGAGTTCTTTATTATGTTTCCAAAACGACAAACATTGAAAGTCATCTTGTTCGGCTAACCATTTCACAATATTTCATTGATTTCACTATAGATATGATGATAAAACATTAGAGTAGGATACAATTCAGTGAGTTTTCATGATTTTAAACGGAGTTTTATTACCTTCTGTTTCCTATTTCGGGGACGTTATTCGGGCAAAAGATATCACACCAAAAATGATGCGTTGTGAGAAGTGCCTAAAGTTTAGGTTACTTACAAAATTTTCCCTCACACACATAAATTAGGCTTCGATTGAGAAGAGGCCAAAATTTCGGAAGCCGGAACCAGGGCGCGGCAGGAATACAGACCAATTCAAACCTGCAACCCAGTAAAAAACGCCATCCCACAATCCGTCAGCCTCCCAAAACAAACCCAAATGATATCCAGAAGTGTCCCAAAGCGGTCACCGAATTCGAAGAAGTTCACGATTTCGAGGACCAAGCCAGTCAGTCCACCACAGTCGCACCGACCGAGTCGACCACGCTTTCATTCAACGGAAATCGTCTAATGACCTCCGATTACAGTTCGAACACGTGCAGTGATTCCTACACCTATTCGGGACCACTGGTGTTTGACCTACTCGGTGATCACCTTTCGGATAACGGATTCTATAACGTCTGCTCCACATCGTGTAGTGAATGCCGGGAAAGACGAGGATTTCTGGAACAACTATCTTCTATGCGCAGCTCTTCGGCGGAATCGATGTCAGACGAGACTGGTAGCTGGGACTACTTTGATCCAGGTTAGTCCATGTGAATGCATTTTAGTGTTTCTAAAGCAAAATGTCTTGCGAACGTGTATTGTAATACCATTTAAGTAGATTGCGCCTATTTGTCGAACTGATATCGATTAACAGTCTACAGAACACATCAAGTAGCTAATGAAAATCGATTGGGAACAATACAGTTTAGCAAACGAGCTCGGGTTCAGTCATTCGAAATCATGTCAATACATAACATGAAATGTGATTTCTCAAGCAAATAGGAGGATGAGCGGGTGAGAAATGCCGAGCTAATTGTTCAAATTTGTCTCCAAACTTGTGTTCGTCAAATTGATCACACTGTCAAGTGGCACACTTGTTTAGAACGATTAATTGGGTAAGGGAGGGTTATGCGCTTGCACAGATTTCTTCTGGTCATACAGGATTTGATTTTGAAGTCGAATACTGACGGTTTGGGCATGGATACTCTCGAACCTAGGTCGAAATGTGTTTCTTACATATCCGCTGTGTGTTGTGGGAGGTGAACACACTGTATTCAGATTTTCAAAGGGGAATTCACCTTGTAGATAGCAAATGAAGCGTGAACTGAAAAGCTAGGAAGCTTTTCCGACTTGGTTGGATCTCTGCAGCAGTGAGCGAATCCATTGACCCATCTGGGGATCGAACCCTGGACAGCACAAACAGAACGCAAGCATACTACCCACTCGGCTACCGGGCAGCTAATCAGGCCGTTTTTCATTTCGATTTACGCGATATAGCACAACCGATCTTTGTGGGCTGGTCGGGGGTGTGAATGTTTCCAATCGAGCCATAACCCGGAGACTAGTGCTGAGATGAGCGAGGACTGTGGCTTGCAACAAGCTCACAAAAATGGGTGGTGTTATATTGTGTAAATGGAAAAAGAAAAACGATCTGACTAGCTACCCGGTGACCGAGGGGGTAGTACGCTTGCGTTCTGCCTATGAGGTCCCGGGTTTCACTCCCGGTTGGGTTGACGGATTCGTACTGCACTGATGAGAGTCAGCAATGTGGAAACAGCTGTCCAGTTGCGGTTCCTAGCCTTTCAGTTCACACTTCATTTGCTCTATAGACGACGAATTTCCCCTTTGAAATATAGAATAGTCTGTCTCCTATTTCGATTGTTTCATAGTGCGAGCAAAAGCAAATTGATCTCAACAAACACAGGGGATTAATCAATCGATATCTGCATAGTTGATAACAGGTTGACTAGTTAGTCTTTGACCCTTTGAAAAAGGGTAAGCTGTTAATAATTACACGAAGTGATGCGGATTGGAGTGACAATCGAAGTTTCATCATAAAAATATTTTTAATAGAAAAGAATTCAGTCATCCGACTGTGTGGGGTCAATGAAACTTCAAATGCGTTCGTAAGAAAAAACTAACAAAGGATTTATTGTCAGAGAATGGATGATTGGGTTGCCTTGAAAGAGCCTCGTTTTAGGGTACTCATAAAGTTAAAACTGTTGTCACACTTGTTTCAGAAAAGTTAATACCCAAAATTGTAATAGCTGCCACCTGAGCTCACTAATCATGAACTCCACTGGTCTGTAAAGTTCATCTGTGACGTCGAGGTTCAGTAAATAGAAACCGCAATGGTGGCCAGATTTTGAACGGAACACATGGCTTTTTATCCAGGCTCCCCGGTGCTGCAGCGAGATGAGACGACTTTAGGCAGTTTCACCACCAGTTGTTCATCATCCGCACAATTTCGTGACTGATTCTTTATTTCATTGCAAGATAACGTCGGGGGAGAAGCAAGGTAATTTTGCACCGGCGGTAAGGAGCTTCAAGAGTATTGTGGTTATCCAAAGCCCCGAGATGACACCAGTCAGAGGGATTCACTTGCCTTATCGTTCCACGACAACCAATAAGTAGCGGATATTTCGAACCAGTCAACGTCACCGTCGCTTGTTTAGGAACATTATGATTGGAAGATTGAGCACTGATTAATTACTAGGCCAGTGTGATCCTTTCCGTTCGATTTCTCACAGGTAAGGAACCTCTACTTCCGTGAGCATCTTGTTCAGTCGCGGCATTAAAAGATTACGCCGGCTGACTGCGATTACCAATCCACGCGAGTATTCCTACTATTGTGTTAATTTGGGGGATTATGTATTAGTTGAAGTACGCACAAATCACGGATTACAAGTCACGTAACAGGAATCATGGATGCCATTGAATACTGAATCTCACTGGCACTTGCACGACGGTATCCCACAACCGAGACCCAAGGAAAAGACCATAGGAAGAGATTAAATAACATGTACAAAACAGGTTTATTGGTTATTCAGGCATCTACCAATCACGTTCTCGTGTACTTGGCGTAGTACAGCTTCTGTCTGGGCCACATGCTTTCTGAATGGTTGGCTCAGTCAGCCTGTGTTTCGTTGTCCAAAAGCTGCAACGTGCAGGCGATATGTTGGCGTCAAATGGGAAACTTGACTCCTTCCAGTTGTCCGGAAATCGTAACATGTCGCCCCGAGGCTTGGTACATCCGGTAAGCTGAAATCACTGCAGGAATTTAGTTTGTAATGTTCAAGAATACACAGGGGTTTGTATTTCATTCAAGACCAATCATTCCTCGAGCAGTTGATTCCATATTTTAATTCACCTCAAATTATACATCCCCAAACTGATCATGGTTTTTAATTTTATCCGAACAGATGAGATGTTGAGTTTCGGTCCCGTGGATTGTTCTCAATGGGTTCAAGACCTGATATTGGAAGAACCTCAGTTGGGTGTGGGAGACGAAACCTTGAAGCCATTTCGTTGGAGACGTGCCCTCTCGGTCCCCCTTGGTGTGAAACTTTGTAAATAAATACTGAGCAAACTTTGATGTTCGTACGAGTAACACAAACACATAAAGTGTTCTTTCATCAATTCAAGTGTGCTGGATGTCCAGAGCAAGACCATTATCAAACGTTTGCTGGTTTCCCGAATCCTTGATAATATGATGCAGATTTGGAAAACCAAAGAAATATAAAAAAGAAAAGATCATATTGCAATACTGCGCGATTGAATTCCAGGACGATTTTGCTGCATCTCAAAATGGTGCATACGGCAGAAAATGTAGTTTTTATATGGGGCTTTGCTATGGCAACAGGGTAATGTACAATGCGTTAAAGCAGAAAAAACGGGAAAGGGGTAAAAGGACGATATCACCAGGGTAACAACAAACTAAAATAAAGTGCGTTTTGTTGACACAGGGTTGGTGGACTCCATCGATCAATAGCAATCGCTTCAGCAAACCTTAACTATCTTGCGAGTCATGACTTATGGAAAATCCGAAACGCCGTGCTTTGGTAGATCTGTTCTGGCATCACGAGCAGATATTGAACAATGGCTGAGGGTGGGGTCTTGTAGTTTCGACCGTCGTTTCTATGCAGTAGACTTGACCTTGATTGCGTCACCTGATTTCGGATTCAATTCGGAAATTGTTCCACCACTCGATTGCGTAATTTTCACTGTCAAATTATTCCTGTTGGTTGCCAACTGTAAAACTGTGCATGTATTTCAGTAAGGGATGCAGCCAATGCGTTAAAATTCAGTCAAACCAATTCAGTCACAGTCAAATCTCCATAATGTCATACTTTTACAATATCCGCATTTAAGTCATAGTTACTAATGAGTAGTTTGTGTGGGATAATTGATTTTGATTTGAACTGACTATTCTTCGGACTTCAGCTTTACGCACAATTCTCAGTTCATTCAGAGAAACACACTCAGAAGCACTATAGACTCGAGTTTTGCTCTGATTAAAGCTCATTATTAGTGGCCCAAAGAACCGATTGAAGACGACACCTGAACAAACGTGAATTGGCAATTTGGCTCAGCCCAGCGGTAGCCCGTTTATTTTCATGCGATGGTTCTGGAGTTCACAATCCGTACGGGACGGTGGATATAAACTACTGACGAGCGCGACTTTTATAATACTCTATAAACTCGCCACCTCTGAAGTCATTTAGTATCAGAGTGACTTTCAATCATAAACAACCTCCTTAGGATCTTACCTCGAAATGGGGTGCACATTTCTAAAATCTCCCGGTGGATAGCTCACTAAACATACAAACAACTCCCTGACCCCACATGGTAGAACAAAAACAATCGAATGAATGGCCGTTGGGGGAAACTTCGGCAGATTGGAAAAGAACCCAAAGTGGACAACATCTCACATGAACGTTGTGACGACGTAAATCAATTACCAACATTTATGTAACCTGGTCTTAGTTGAACAAGAGAACTAGGGTCAAACTTGTCCCTATCCCATTCTCTTTGCTGTCAGTATTTGAGATCGACTGTTTGAGGAAAACACAATACTTTGCCGTTGTTTTATTGCATATATATGATCCTAATGGACCGAGAATAAACTGGCCGAAAACAAATATTCACCTAAGATCTGTGTTCTGATTATGAATATGGGCTTATTTCGTGATCATGGAGAAGATTTTTCGGTTGAAAAATTACTCAGCAAAGTTATTCTGCTGCTCGTATCTAGTATGCAGGTATCTGTTTATCTTCTGGAACAGGGGCAAATTTAGACCACACGATTAGCAATCAAAGTCTAATTTAGCAAACGTCTTTGCACGCACAAAATAGCCGGGATTACAGTGCAACAAAGAAATGAATTTACAACCGCCCAGATCATGAGCAGCGTGATTGATTCCAGTCAAGCAAATAGCCCCGTTCTGTTGTTTGTTTCAGCAAGCATATACTTCACACATACATACAAACGAGGAAATCATACTTAATTTATTCACCGCCTCATGCCTCGTAGTAAATCGAGCGGTAAACAGGATAAGAGGGAAACTGATGCGCGGACGTTTCTGAACTGAATGAAATTGACAGCACTGTGAGCCAGCGACTTCTGGTACCGTAGAAGGTAGTCAGTAAGCCCTGTTCAGACGAGAAATACTTTTCGCAAATGTACGAGATCATAGAGACAGAGAGGAACAACCTAAACAACATGGCAAATGTTCTCCTGGTAGAAATGTTGTCGCACCGATCGATGCTGAGATGTGGCGTTTGTTTCAGCCCCGTATGACAGGCGACCAAACTCAGCTAGAGGCTAATTCTCTCACATCCGAACAGACCACTGCGTACCTGAATTGTACCAAATTGATTACAAAGCTCGGATCAAATCCTGAAAGCACTGCAGAAACCGTTGCTAAGGTGGCGTTGCTAAGGTAAACAGATTGAATACTATTGTAGATGACAGAAGTTGTAAATATGATCTATTATTCTACAACATCGCCGTGCGTTGATTAACTTGTCGAGCATCAGAAAACCTAAAATATCTTAAAATTTACACTAAAACTTAATGAGAACGCGGCCCCTCACACAATTTCATCATCTAAACAGGACAGAAAGATCATAGCATCAGCGGCGTCTGATTGTACATGATACAGTCCTTGCAAAATGTATAAATTTTTGTCTCCTCACCATATTAGAGCACGCTGTCAGCAATATACAAAAGTAAAAAATATGAATTGTTAGATAGATTGCGAGTAAGCAGGTAAAAATAGTAGGTTACCAGACCAAAAGAAATTTTTTCCAAAACTTCAAATCCAAATGACCAGTTGGAAATCCTATGATATATCAGACCACTGGTCACCAAGAGGCGAGAGAATACAAACATCTCTCGAATTCTGTGGGTTACATGATGTTACATATAAACGTTAACAAGTTAGTCTTTTATGGATCAACACTTGCCTGTTGACGGTAATTAGGAAACAACCATGAAACTTCCGAGAAGCGAAGCAGTCTGGCGAATTCAACCGAACGTGTAAAATCATAACAGAATGGTAGCCCTGTTGTTGGTCTATCGAATCCACTATAAATCTGTAATAATCTAGATCAAATTGTGGATGAGCACAAAATATTTTATAGAAATCGTTGACACAGCTTATCCTTTACATTTTTCAAACTTTTTCACATGTAGTTATAACACATATCATAATCTATAGTTTACTTATTAGCCACCGATAAGTAGTCTACATTCCAGTTGGTGCTGTCCAGGTAGACTGATTGAATTTAATGGAATCAATTTTTGAGTTAGGTCGATTGAATCAAGAGTAACGTAAAATGTAAAACCGGCAAGCTCGTTCGGGTCCCGTGAGCCACTCCAATCTAATGAACAAACTGAGAAACAAACCCCCATCAGAATGAGTGATTCCGTTGGTCTCCACACAGTATAGCCCAATCCACATATTTAAAAGCTTCCTACAAGAACCTAACCGGTCTTATTTAAATTTTCATTTTTCTATGGTTATGCAATACTCCCCAGGTTGAAAAATAAACTTAGAAACACGATGACGAGTGCTAAGCAAAAAGTTTCCGGATGCACAAGACATTTTAATTGTTACGTAAAAATAAGCATAACCTTCCTCTCGAAGTATTCTCTACCGGCATTCAAGCACACACAGTTCCACGCGGCTTAACCATTTGATGAAACAGCCTGACCATGCTGAGGCGAGTAACCCCTTGACCAGTTCAATGAAGGCCTCCACTGCAGCTGTTGGTGACTCGTATCGGATTCCACGCCTGTCACGCTTCAATTCCGCAAACCATTCAAACACAGTGCTTCTTGGAGGCGCGTCAACACCAAAAGCAGCTCGTAAACGATCAACACAGGGCTGCTACTTTAGCCCACATCTGTAGTCGTAGAAAATCATTGTCCTCCAGTAACATCGAACGAGTTCCATCCTCACAGTCTGAGTGCATAGCGCTCTCGTATGACTTGTGAGGTGTGCTCTCGGCTGTGTAGATGTTTGGTTCTCTATGAGTTTCAATCACTGAACAATATTCACAATACGAAATTACAGTTTACGTTTTCCTTGCCCGGTCATCTGTAATGCGTACATGTCGTGTACTGCGCATCTGGAAACGTTTTGCTCAGCCCTCGTATCTAATTGCATTCATCAAAGAGTAAAATAAGGATTTGTGTGAATGTCTCTGACAGGTCATTGGCAAGGTTTTGGGAAACTGATGCATCCATTCATCCTGCTGTCTGGTCAGGGCACACTTAGACCGCATTCTACTAACACGCAGGCGTTTAAGTTCTATTGTTTCATGATGGTAGTAGAGGATTTCATTTCATTGTCTGGTGCATATAGTCGTTCACAGAGCAAATGTAGCGTGAATTGGAAAGCGGGTAAGCACGGTGTACAACTGTTCCGACCTGATTCGGTCTCATCTACTGCTCTCTGAGAACACCCAGTTTATCACACTGCAATATCAATCGATCAATCCGAGGGAGGCTATAACAATTTAGGTTCTGATCGATAGCCTGCATTAAGTGAGAGGAAGTGTTTGCCTTTCCACACATTAATTATACTGAGATAGTTACCTTGAGCTGCAACAGTGTGCATTCCAATACTCAGGGTAATGGGCCAACTAGGCTTCCCATCGTGCGGTACATTTCATGTGGATACAGGAGCTACAAATTATAGTTAAGCATACCACTATTTAGTAAAAGTGTCACAAGCGCATAAGTTGAAAACATTCCATAAACTGTAGATTTCCACCGAGGCTTAGAAAAGAACGGAATCTGTGGAATGTGATAACGGATAGAAATCAGTGCCAATCTATGTAATGAGGACAACAAAGCGAGTCAGTGAGACAAATCATCTACTGAATGAATGAAACAATTCATTGGTATTTGGAAGAAGGAAAAGTAAGTTTCGATTGGTTTTATTTGTCCTGTCCGTGTCTCACCTTGAGTACAGTTTTACACGGTAAGCTGTGCATGCGATACGTGTAGTTTGACTCC